TAATTCCGAATCCGATTTGGCACCATCAGGGGCACTAGGGAGCGGCATTGCCCAAGTAGGAAGCGATCATCGTTTGCGCCCGCACGGCTCGAGGTGTCCGAGTCTTCCAGGTTCCCCAGATCTCTCCACGGACCCCTCGGACCTTCCCATACCACCACTCAACTCCACCTCATCTCACCCGAACCAGAATCAGCAACATTGTAGCAATGGTCTCAACGCGCAGCCACCCTTCAGCATTCCCGCCCCCTGATTTGACTTCGCCGACCAAACCCACGAAAGAATCCCCCACGAAGCGGGCTTCCAGTGCCACCTCGTCGACCGCGTCGCCAACACCACAAGAACGTCCGCGCCAGATGTCCAACACCGCCAGCCGGTGGTCGCACACGCCCTCGAACTTGACGCTTGTCTGGCTCGCCATATCACTGCCGCTCGTCATCTGGGACACGGGTTATGTGATGCTGCGTCCGCACAGTATGCCAGGCGGCGCGCTGCACTGGCCCATCTGGCAGCCGTATGAGCTCTACGGCACCGTGGATTACGTTTACGGCTGGCCGGCATGGAACGCGCACAATGGGTTCACGGCTGCGCAGGGCTCGCTCAATATAGTTGAGACGGTTATGTATCTGTACTACGCGGCGATGGTGTGGAAGTTCGGCAGGCAGAGGGCTGTGGAGGGTACGGGCGCTCCGACGAAGGAGAAGGTGGGCTGGCTTGGAGAGAGCAGGACTATAGGTGGGAGTGTGGCTGGAAAGGCGGTACTCGTGGGGTTTGCGGCGGCGGTGATGACTCTGAGCAAGACGGTATTGTACTGTAAGTTCTTGGAACCGGAGGTTGACGGCTTATCCATGATCACGGCCATACTGATGCTGCCCAGGGCTGAACGAATACTTCAGCGGGTTCGAGAACATTGGTCACAATAGCTTCTCGAGGCTACTGTTTTTGTGGATCATTCCAAAGTAAGTCTTGAGGAGAGCTTAAATGCGAGTCACATAGGAACAGCTTTACTGATACAATACAGCGGCGCTTGGCTTGCCGTGCCTAGCTACATGATATACGTCTTTGGACAAGAGATTTTGCAAGGCTTGGACGCAGCAGCTGGCGTACCGCCTGCGAAGAAGAACGACTAGAGGGCTATTGTCATGTTGTATTTCTTTTGGACCGATCACGAGCAATTTGACTTTGACGACTTCCGTTAAGATACCCCTTTCGATGCATGCTTCTTTCCTCTATCTGGAGTGCGCAACCGAAGGTTCTAATTTCAATCTCTACATGCTGCCTCGCCTTGATTATATTACGGGCCATCTAGGCCTCACCTTTCCCCCCAGACCCGCTCTTTCTACAATTTCTTTGCCCCTTCTCTCGGCCTCTTGCCAAATAACTTCCTCATCCATAGTCATCAACCTTCCGTCTTTTACGACCTCCTTTCCATCCACCACAACCATCTCCACATCCCGTCCAGTCACCGAGTATACCAGCGCACTGACGGGTGAAAAGTATGGCTGCAGATGTACTTTTCTCATATCCACAGCGACAAAATCCGCCTTTTTCCCTACTTCAAGACTGCCGATGCTGGCGTCTAAACCAAGGGCCTTGGCACCATTGATGGTGACCATCTCAAGCACTGTTTCGGCCGGGACAACGGTTGGATCATTAGCAGGCGCCTTGTGTATGATGGCAGCGAGCTTCATTTCCTGCAGCAAATCATCGGTGTTGTTGCAGGGCGCTCCGTCAGTCCCAAGGCCCACATTCACACCGGCTTGGAGCATCTCAGGCACGCGACAGAGCCCTGATGCAAGCTTAGAGTTGGAAGTGGGGCAATGGGCAACGTGAGTGCCGGTGGCTGCCACGGTCGCGATGTCTGACTTCTCTAAGTGGACCATATGGACGAGGACAGTGCTGGGGCCGAGCAAACCGACGGATGAGCAGTACGACATGGGAGTGTGGAATTGGGAGGCAAAAAACGACCGATCCGCAGCAACTTCGGCACAGTGCATGGTGATTGGAATGCCTTTGTCCCGGGAAATAGACGCCATCTCGCGATAGAGCGCATCACTGACTCTGAGCACCTTTCAGGTCAGTCCTGGGCTGAAAGTCGAGGAATGGGATCAGGGGATACTCGCCCTCCAGGTGTGCGGGCACCAAACCAAACCCTGATCCTGCCATCCGCCTTTGCATTCCACTTCTCCCACATCCTAACAGTCCCAAGCAAGGACGTCTCGCGATCTTCCACGAGACCAGGATGCATCGCCCACTCGGGGTCTTTTGCATAAGTAGCGATGTCCATGACGATCTTGCCTAGACAGCCGCGAATCCCACTCTCCTCGACCGCCCTGCAAAGACCATCGAAGCCGTAGCGATCCGCGAACATGCTTTCCAAGAAACATGTCGTGCCTGATTTGAGCATTTCGGCAATGCTGAGGCGCGCGGCTGCGTAGCCGTCGTCGGCAGAGAAATTGCCCTGTAGCACCCAGATGCGCTCGCAGAGCCACGACACCAGCTCCAGGTCGTCTGCAGCGCCTGTCACGGTGTTGGCTGTCAGTCTGTCCTGCGATAGCAATCTGGTTCTCGCAACATGCCGTGACAAGAATCATTGCTGTTGAGCCTCCAAGTCGTGCTGCTGGGTAACCGGGTAACAGAGCGTGGGCCTACCTCTGAGCAGAGTCTGGGCTGTGTGCATATGCGTATTTATCAGGCCGGGGAAGACGATGCGCCCCTCGAGTTGCGTGACTTGTTCATCGGGATACTTTGCGAGGAGGACGGCCGCCTTGTCGATGTCAGCAATGAGGGAGTCTCGTACCAGGATCGCGCCGTCGAGGATGATGTCTCGCGACTTGTTCACGGTGATGAGCGTAGCATGGGCGTAGAGCATTCTGCTCGACTGTCGTGTAGTGACTGACTGCAAGGAACCAGGAAATTGTTCATGATGGATTTGAACTGCGATATGTATTCATCATGGCAGCTGGCTATCTACAGAGTCGTCGGACAGCTCCGTCCTGGGCATGGGAATTGCAGTATGGGGAGTGGCAGAAAGGCGGTGCAACGACAGGGAAACGGCATCGCTCGGGCGCGTCCGGCGGCTGTTGATCGGTCGGATCAGATTAATAAGGATGGAAGAAGCAACGCAGTCAGATGGTGAGGGATTTGCACGGCGACGATGAGTTCGCGTTGTCTCGGGGACGTCGTCTAGGGCAGTGTGCAGCGCTGATTCGGGAGAGCTTTTCGAGCTTGGGGGGTGTGGTGGAGGGTCAGTTGGGGTCACGCGGGTGCGAGATTATCGCCTGGCGGGTCGGCGGTCAGTAAAGCTGCCTGCCTGCCCATCTAAGCTATTACAGTAAGTACGTCAACGCGACGGCCGCCACTTGGATGCAACCAATTCTCTCCTCTCTACTCCCCTCTTCTGTGCCACCACCTTCTTCTCCCTCTACCCTCCAGTCTCCCTCCCTTGGATGTGATTCTGGGCTGCGTGTTGTCTGCTCGCTTTCTTCGTCGACCGTTCCTTTGGCCTCGCCTCCAGGCAGCTCTGAAACAAAGATCGTCAGAACCATCCATCATCTCAACGCCCAGTTCCTCCAGCTGCTGCCGCGCACACTCGTCCACCCATCCACCCATCCACATCGCCATGACGAGAAGGATAGTCTACGGCATTGGCCTCTGGGCCACTCTCGCCGGTATATCCAGCCAATCTCTTGTTGACCTTGGCCCCAAGCTAATGCGCACGCACACAGCTTGCGCCATGACCATCGCCAGCATCATTGAGCCCCGCTGGCTGAGCTACGAAGTCAAAGCAGTACGTCCTCCGCCCAGCCTCTTCGAGCGACTGCAACCACTTTCACGTACTCTTTCTCTCTATGTCGACAACTGACATTCCTCCAGCATGGCCAGCATGGTCGCAACGTCAAAGTAACGTACGGCCTGCACCGCCGCTGTGATTCCATCTCCGGCACTTGCACCGACTTCCCCGAATACGAAGACTGCCATGGCGACAACTGGTCCTTCTGCAGCATGTGGCGCAGCGTCGGTTTCCTCATGTCTTTCGCCGTCATCATCGAGGCCGCCGCTCTGATCGCGTACGCCGTCATAATTCTCGGTGGCAAGCAAAAGAGAGACAAGGGCTGGAAGATCGTTTGCGGTCTCTTGGGATTGGCTGGCGCCGTGCAGTGCGCCAGCATGGCCATCGTGGTAAGTCTGGTCTTTCAGATCCGTCCAGTTAGAGAGACGACGGGACTGATGATTTGACAAGGCTTTCTTGTACGACCATGACGAGCGCTTCTTCCCTCCGGGCTGGGCTCTGGACAACTCCTGGATCCTGTGCACCGTCAGCTGGAGCGTGCTGGTCCTATCCGTCGCAGGTCTGGCCGGCGCTGCGATAGCCATGCCAGAAGAGGGCGACTACGAGCTCATTCCGGAGGGAAGAATGTGAGGCGCGTTGACTGCATCAGCGTAGACGGCGGACGATACGACGAGATTTTGATGAACGGCCAGCGACGGAGCGATGCATATTTCTCATGAAGCGACCAATGTTGGGACGAAGGGCACTGCATATCATCTTTTTGGGCATCGGCCTTTGCGCGCGCGTTTACCATGAGTTGAGTTGCATTTGCATTCTTACTTTGGGCTGCGATACTGATACCAATACTCTTCGCTTGCATGACGACACCACGGGTGGGGTTTGACTTTCGTTTTCCAGCTCGTTCTAAGTCATAGCCACAGATATATACCATTTGACGCTTCTAGACCAGACACGTCAATCTTGCATGTTTGCCGACTAGGGTTACGCCAATGGCGTTCCGCCAATACTGGACAAGAGATCAATCCTTGGTTCGCTACCCAAGATACCAGACCCTCGATGTTCTCTTTCCTTCTGGTTTGCTTGGCCAATCCAATAACTTGCCGAGCGGCCCTTGACACAGTGCCACATCGTACGCTCCAGAAGTCGACTGAGAATATGCTAATTATATTGCGTATCGTCCAAATCTCTTCCATCAACCAACAACCAATCAGGTCGCGTAGCTTAGTCGGTAGAGCGTGGTGCTAATAACCTCCCATGTTAATAACGCCAAGGTCGCGAGTTCGATCCTCGTCGTGACCATCTTTTTACTCGTGTGAAGCACTGGATAGAGGTTGGGGTTGATCTTTTTGATGTTGGTGCTGGACTGGGTGGGGCGGCGGTCCGATAGAGATATTTCTGAGGCAAGCCGGGGCCGGAAAACGGTCAGATCACCAGGATGGAGAGGAGTGTTTTTGGACGAAGACGTCTTTCGAGTGTTCCTTTTTGCAGTGTATGCAGTGGAGGGAGAGTCGATTCTTCCGCGGTCACGTCCTCGTCAGTTAGAAACAGCTCATCTACGAGCTTCCAGGCTGATTTCACGGGCGAAGATAATGTAGAATCATCATGAGGAAGCAACTCGGAGCACAGTATATCTGTATGTTCTGTGCATTTTTGGACCCATCCTTCCAGGTCTGTAGCTTCACTATATGGAGAGACTGTTCATGTAGAAGCGCACCGGTGGGTGTGGGGTCGCTGCCTATTGTGCAAAGGACAGACGAGAGAGACCACACCCGATTACTATACATTATAATTGTAGTATGAGGAAGATGGGGTATCATATACAAGAAGCGAATCGGGAAGCAGAACATCGCGGTGTGAAGGCTATGCTCTCATACAATGCTAGGGGTGTCACCGCCCCCCAGGCTCCTGTACGACCTCCTGAAAGACTCGGAGAGCATGAAGAAGAAGCTACGGCTGTGTTGCGCTTCCGGGAAGACGAGCTTAAGCCTGTCTTTGAGACTGTTGGTGATGACGGTGTTGATCTCCGCTGCGAGCTCGGTCGAGTAAAACGCTACACCCAGCTCTTGACTGGTGTACCAGCTCGCACGATCCATATTGCCGCTGCCGAGGACCACGCATTCTTCGTCGATGATCGTTAGCTTCAGATGAGACTGCACCGGTTCGCCGTCTGAGGCTCCTTTGCGGGGCCGATAGTACTCGATGTGCAACCTGCCTCGCTGTGGATGCTCGTCCCGTACGTTGGCGATGGGGATATGCGTTATGAAGGGGAGCTTCTTGTATCGCTTGATCAACTTCTTCATGCAGCGGGAAGTGGTCGTGCCAGCAGTCCCAAGCTGCTCGAGTCTCATGAGCCGCTCGCTGGTGACGATGTGAACGTCGACGCCGCGACGGAGAGCAGCGAGGATGGCTGTCAGAACAGGTGCGCATGTCAAGTTTGGTGTCTGGATGTAGATCGAGTACTTAGCCGTCTCCAGTGAGTGAAGTATGAAGGTGTTCAAGGGCGTCGGTGGTGGTGGTGGCGCAGCTTGCCATGGAAAAGGCCTGAACCTCGGATTGACGTGGTGCAACGATGGTAGGAAGACGCTGGGCACAGCTTGGCCTGCTGCGCTGGTGAGAGACGAGAAGCTCTCCGGTAGAGAGCTGTGGGCGCGTAGTAGTCGTAGAAGATCGACGGCTGAATCATACGCGTCCGGGACGACCGCTTGAAGGGCAAGCTTCCGCTCATGACTGCCCCAGAACCGATACCAGAAGTCGACGAAATGCTCGACGGCTGGGCCTGAAAGAGCAAGGCAGCCTTCAAACCAAGTCTCCCAACTGACGTTGCAACTCGGCAGCCAGACCATCTTGCGATCTACACAGACGAACTTCGGGTGCATGACGCTGAAAGGCCTCACGAAGACGCTTTTGATCTCGAGGTCGAGTCCGGAGAGCTCTTCCGGGGAAGGCAAGCCCAGCGTCCTGGCCCAGACAGAGGGCGGGTAGATTTGTCCGTCCAGAGAGCTGGGCTGACGCAGTTTCTGCCAGATCGACAGCGACGAGAAGCCAATTCGAACGCGGATTTTGGGCTTGCCTTCAGCAACGCCGCGCTCGGATTTATGAGAGAGCACGCGCAGAGCCTTGGACAACCTGACCAGCGATGTAGACTTGGCCCAGAAGCAAGTGACGAACAGGACTTCGGTCTCTGCGTGCTCGACGCGAGGCAAGATGTCGGTGAATATGTCATCTCCAGTGCCGGTCTGGAACGAATGGAGGTAAGATGAAGTTACAACGTTTCGTGGGTTGTGGGAGTAGTAGGCCGGGTCATCCTGACCACCTTCTGAAGCCTTCGAGTTCATAGAGGCCACCCAGCCCTCTATGTAACCCGCAAAGTTGCTAGGTAATTCGTCCGCCATTTCAGAAGCGAGTGTGGAATTTGACACAAAGGTGGCTCTGTGACTTGTGTTCTTGCAGACCGCGCAGCCAGACTTGAAGACGTGGCTGTATATAGTCTAGAGCTGCATGGCAGTGCCAGGGAGATATTTTTGGCGTATGGCAAATATGACTGAATCACGAGTGTTGAGACAAACGGTGAAGCTGGAAGCCTGGATGCCAAGGGATTCGTGTTTGCGGGATACGATCAATCCTGCGTGGCCTTGAGGCGAAGCACGTCGCCTGATAGCGAGCGGATCGGCCACCACAGGCCTATGATGGGGTGTGAGCAGCTTGCGAACCAAGAGCAGAGTGCTTCGTGGCTGGAGTGTGTAGGTGGTGGTGCGTGAGTGGACAGCCGCGCGATGACGGACTTGGTAGCCTCTGGCCGGTTGATCGTCGGGCTGCGCGGGAGTGCTACGAGCTCAACACCTACTTTTTCTATACAACCCCCAATTGCTACCAGCAAATATCCACGCTCATAATGCCCATCTCGATCCTGCCGCCTGCCCCTGCGGCTCCCGTACGCGCCCATACTGCCTCTTACGATGACGATCGGGACTTCGACTCCGAGGGAGACGTCGACATGGAGGCCTCCAACAGAGCATCCAAGCGGCCGCGGACTTCTCAGCAGAGCATTGTCACACCCGGAGAGACTGTCACAGACGACCCGCAGTGGATGAGGTATATCATCGGCCCAGAATCGACGCTCACGAAGAGAGACTAATGCCACACTTGCGCAGAGGCCATGGTACCTACGTTCCGGAAGACAGCAGTGCAATACTTTCAACAGTCGCCGGCACTGTCCTGAAGACGAACAAGCTCCTCTCGATCACTCCTCTCCGCGCGCGCTACATTCCGGAAATCGGCGATCTCATCGTTGGTCGCATTGTGGAGGTGCAATCACGACGCTGGCGCGTTGACCTATCAGCCCCTCTGCTTGCCTCATTACCACTGTCCGCCATCAATCTTCCGGGCGGTATATTGAGAAAACGCACAGCTGTCGACGAGCTGAATATCCGGACATTCTTCACCGAGGGCGATTTGGTTGTTGCAGAAGTTCAGAGCATACACGGAGACGGAAGTGCCGCACTACATACTCGCAGTCTGAAGTACGGCAAGCTCAGAAATGGCTACTTCCTATCCGTGTCTGGTACTGGCGGTGGTGGTGGAACAAAGGGAGGTGTTGCCCGCTCCAGACGGCAGGTCTTCACCCTGAACACTGCGCACGGAGGAGAAATCGACATAATATTGGGCGTCAATGGATACATTTGGATCGCGAAGCACGTACAGCCACCGGATTCCGGAAAAGATGTCAGTATCACCAGGATCGAAGAAAGTGTATCGAAGGAGGTCTATTCGAGCCAAAATGACGAGATCGATGTGGAAACGAGAAGAGAGATTGCAAGAGTGGCTGGTATAGTCAGGGCTTTGGTTGAATCCGGTGTTAGGGTAGACGAAGAGACGGTCGTTCGGGGATACGAAGCCGCGATGGAAGTCGATCTGGAGGAAGCAGGGGAAATGGGCGACGCAGCCGCCGTCTCAAACGGTGTGTATCTCGGAGGAGATCGGGGCAGAAGGGTTGTGGAACTTGCTCTAGGCGGCATGGCGGATTAGAGGTACCCGAACTGTAGCGCGGTCATGCGAGCAAAAGAACCCACGGCGAACAATGTGGCATCTTCGAAGGCTGAAGAATAACCCTTTCGCAACACGTCACAGCTCGAACACTTTGCGCCGACTTCACCGCTATCCAGACGGCGTCTTACATACTTCGCGCAGGACGGCATTCAATCTCTACACTTGTATCGCTATCTCGGCATCTCGGATGCAGCACTTCTCGTCTGTAAGCCTACCATGCGCGGGACTGCCTCCGCTGATCCGTTCACCAATGAGGAGAGATATGCCGTTGTTTTGCAGGACGTACGTTACGGTAGAGAACCCGTTCTTTGATTATCTGCGCAAGGACGGGCCGCTAATGTTGTGGGTGGTAGCACGGATCAGGCGTTCTCAAAGAGCAGCCGTTTCTCGAGGTTACATCTTCATGATGGTTGCCGGGGGTATCGGAAGAGAATGCAGAGGCTCCGAGATTCTAGTAACGCAGCCAGATTCCTGCATGCTTTTATTCGTTTGTCTTCTACATACCATGTCCACACAACGAGCCGGAGTCTTCTGCTGATGTGTATATGCTGGTCTGCTCTGACGGAAGCGTCGTCCCGCGTCCCGGTCCCCAAGAGATTGGCCGGAACATGCTCTCATGCATGTACAGCCGACTACGCCGCAATACTCACCCACTCGAGACGGAGTAGGTCCGCGGCGCCGCTGCCGGGCGTTCGCGGCTAAGGCTTGGTACCCCAGTCCATTGATGCACATGATGACAGCTTGTACTCAGCTTCTTGACGACAAGGCTGAACTCACAGGCTCAGCTCGGTTCCGTCCACGCTTTTGCCACAGGTTGCCTTGCTGATTAGGTATGCCCCAGTATGCCACTCCTGAACGTCAGCAGGGTAGTCAACTTCATAACTGATTGTTGGTTGAAGATCGAGATCCCCTCCGGCTGCAGATCATGGGTTGTCCCGTACCAGGTTCCTGAGAACAAGTCAGCTCAAACACACTAGGTTGTAGTCCTGTGTTCAGATGTTGTCCAATAGCGGGTTCTGGCGCGCTTCCCCCGGGTATTCACTCTATTACCTTCCATGCGATCTCCTGCAGTAGGTGATTTCCAACACACTGGTGAGCTACCTGTAGCTGCCGGTGGTTCGGTCTTGGTTGTGGGAGACCCACATGCCGTATACGCGTCCCTTTCTCTTCGGACTCCTTCCGTGCAGATTACGCCTCAGGAGTTGTCTGAGATTAGGCTGCTTGCCAGCCCAGCTGCCGGCCTGATCTGCCAG